CCTGGGGTGTTTGTGTTGTAATGACCACGTTTCACTCAATCATCTGACAGTTAATGTCCCTGAGCAGAGGTGTCTCTAGACTTTATGAGGCTTTAAGTGAAACTCAAACATGAGGCCCCACTAACACCAAAGTAAAAAAAAAATAGAGTTGCAATACATGCACACATATACACATTGATGCACTGTCTACCTGTATATGTGCCTGAGAGTGTGTGTCTGACAGAGAGTATCCTTGTGTGTGTGTGTGTGTGTGTGAATGTATGTCTCTGTGAGCATGTTTGTGTTTTTGTCTGGGACCGTATGTGTATGGGGTAGCTGCTTGAAGTGTGTTGTGTGTATGGGGGTCTGCCTGTGGCTTTTGTGCATTGTGTTTATGGCAAAGCTATGTTTCCTGACTGTGTGTGTATGATGAATGAAAGTATTGTACGCAATACTGAAGACCATATCTCCAGAAGGATATTGATACTTTGGAGAAAGTTCATAGAAGGGCTACTAAACTAGTTCATGGATTACAGGTTAAACCTTACAAGGAAAGGTTAAAGGATCTTAACATGTATAGTTTGGAGGAAAGATGAGACGGGGGATATGATAGAAACATTTAAATACATAAAGGGAATCAACCCAGTAAAGGAGTAAACTATATTTAAAGGAAGAACTACCACAACAAGAGGACATAATCTTAAATTAGAGGGGCAAAGGTTAAAAAATAATATCAGGAAGTATTACTTTACTGAGAGGGTAGTGGATGCATGGAATAGCCCTCCAGCTAAGGTGGTAGAGGTTAACACAGTGAAGGAGTTTAAGCATGTGTGGGCTAGGCATAAGGCTATCCTAACTATAAGATAAGGCCCGGGACTAATGAAAGTATTTAGAAAATTGGGCAGACTAGATGGGCTAAATGGTTCTTATCTGCCGTCACATTCTATGTTTCTAAGCTATAACTGTCAGGAAGAGCTATCCAGAGCTCAGCTGAACACAAATCACATTGACCTGTCTGCCTGTTAACGCTATGGACTTACAGGGTTATTCACTAAACCATGAACTGTTGGCAAATCATCAGGATTTAAAAAAAAAAAAAAAAAAAAAAGGCCGTAGCCAAACTGGAAGTCAGATATGCTTTCAGCACAGATATTTTGACCTTACATATGCACTTTCCATTTGAATTTCCAGCAAATCATGGTTTAGCAAATGTCCCTTTGAATATCCTATGCTGGTTAATTATTAATTGTTAGCATTTTAACTTACTATTTATTCTTGCAATTTAGTGTACAAGTGTCGTTACTATTATAGTGTTCTATAATCTTATTTTTAAATGTAGTTGCCAAACATACTAACTTTCTCCTATGTACTATTGGCCTGGCTCCCTTATTTGTATCAGGGGAAGATGGTTAACTATAACTATATACAAATAAAATACACAAATATTTTATAGAAGAGTGTATGACTTTTTTATTTCAGCAGCCCACTATCAGTAGGCTGCATGGAAACTATCTGGGTGTAGATCGAAAATACATTTGTAATGTATATTTATCCCCTTAAGGACCAAACTTCTGGAATAAAAAGGAATCATGACATGTCACACATGTCATGTGACCTTAAGGGGTTAAACAGTGTTTTCTGTTCGGGAGTGTGTGTTTGTCTTGCTGTGTGTCTTTATGTGTGGAGATAGGTGTGTCTCTGTGAGTGTGTATATACACATATATACACGTCTAAGGGCGTATTGCAAAGGGTGACTAGTCACTGTATTTCTGATGGCAGTCCTGTGTTTTGAGATAAGTAATGTATTCTCAGGAACAGTTCCATTCATCACATAGTATGAGCAGAACTGCTCTATCTATAAGCTGGCTGCTATGAGTTCACACACAGCCTGGTTCACTTTTGCACATGCTGTCCAGACAATTTGGAAAACAGTTATCTTCTTCAGGAATTCAAATTGTGCGCCTGTTTAATTGACACTAAATATAAATATTTGTTTATTGAAAAGCCTGTTTCCAGTTTGTTTTAAACAACAATCATGCAGACAACATAAGTAAGGCAAACATCACAAAATAAGACAGACACAGGAAAAGTTATAGTTGGAATACACATAACAATGCTTAGAGATCACAATGGTATATATATATATTTCTATACTTTTTAAAGCAAAAATTATGCATAAGGATAATAGCAACTAAATATAGGGGAAACACCCTTTAAATGAAGGTGAGTGTGTACCAAGAAAAACTAAAGCAAATCTAAGGAAAGATAGAAAAACAGGATAGAATGATTGAAGAGAAGAGCTCTAATGATGAAGATTGAGATAGATGGAAAATGAAGAATAAAAGTAAGCTGTTTAGGATTTCATGGCTAACAGGTTTTCTACAGTGCACTATCCCGAGGATGAGCCATGAGACCCTCCACAAGATGTTAGGGCTGGTAAGGAAGGTTTAGGAGCAATTCTTCCCTTGGATCGCAAGCATGGGAAGGTTAATGGATTGTGGTCTACAGCCTCAAACAGACATAAAGAGACATATAATATCACGGTATTATATTCCTTCTCAGATGGCCACTTGCCATACTTCACATAAGTTAACCTCCAGAAGAGCAAGTTAAGTCACACACTTATATAAATAAAAACATATTATCGGGGACTAGAGATAACTATACTGCCATTTCATTTCAGCCATAAAATTCTTGAATCTCAAGCTAACAAGAGAACAGAGGAAACTAATTACTGCATGAGCTGCAATTTAGTTGCTCCTTCAGGTAAAACCTTATGCCTAAAGAGAGGTTGCAGATCCCCCTACGTCCATGGATCCAGTTCCAGGGGACCTTAAAAAATTGGATTACCCAGGCTATAGCTGAAGAATTTCAAGCAGCTTCTTCTCAAACATCTATTAAAAGTAAAAGAGAAATGGGAGGCGGAGTCTAGCTACTGAACAGTGTAGTCGCACGGCACACAAGCTCCTGCACTTTTGGGCCTAAACTCACCGATTGGGACCAATAAAATCGTGATGGGCTGCAAAACCAAAAAATTAAAGCCGGACAAACCAAGCAAGGGGCCAAACATTGCAGAACTCCTGCACCAGACCCGTGAGGCTGGCAGGCCCAAAATGTCCGACTACCACGGGACATATTCTGAGCTGTCTGACGACTTCTCCTCGGGCGGTGAAGAGACCGACCTACCTCCGGTACAGAGATCACCCCCGAGCGCCCAAACTTTGGACACCTCACCCGTAATAACAGAAGTCCTGAAGTCGCTGCTGGCGGACCTGCAGAGGACCCTACAAGCGGACGTTGCAACGCTCCAGGCCGACATCCACAGTCTGACTGGCCGAATGGGGGCCCTGGAGATGGCGTCAGGCGCCTGCAAAAACCAAATCACGACACTGCAGCAGGAGGTCAGGGACCTCAAACAACAGAATGAGGCACACGACCGCCGTTTTGCAGCCCTGGAGGACGCCCGCCGGGCCAACAATATCAAGATCCAGGGCATTCTGGAAAGCATCCCACCAGCAGAGATACCACACTTACAGAGACGTCTTTTCGTGGCACTGCTAACACCGAAACAAGCCAGAAACGTCAACCTGGATGGCTTCTTCAGGACCCAGAAGCCGGCCAAAGCACCGACTTTGGCACCCCGAGACCTCATCCTGTGCTTCCAACTGCACACAGACAAGACAGCGGTGATAGCAGCGGCCAGAGACTGTTCACCATATTCTTTTGAATCTATGTAGTTGTCCTTTTTCGCTGACCTCACTGGAGGCACGCTTGCAGGTCACGCCACACTTAATACCCCCAGACGAGTAGTTCAGGGACCATAACACCCAATTTTCCACCCGCCTGAATCCACTGGGATTCGCCTTGCACGTAAGACATGGCCATAGCCAGGCATAAAAATTCACAGCGAGGCTGCTGGATTCCCCCCCACAGTAGTCCAGCGACACTCCGCCCGTACGTACCTGACTTAAAGCTAGCCCTCAAACGGCAACCTGACCGGAGAGAGCCCCAACCATGCTAGCTTGGAACAGGCGCACTTAAACTTTTGCAGTGTACAACAGGTACAAAGGTCATAATAAATATGTCTATGGAGTCCAGAACCCCTTGGTGAACGGGCCGGTCAACTATGCCCCCCAGCACTCTCAGGCGGGCCGACCGATTGTATACATACACAGGCGTACTGAACCTAGCCTACCACTCTAACGCTGCTAAGCATTTCATATCCTATTTTCTAGATTTGTTAACTAACCATGCTATCATACAATATGTTACCAGCGTAGGCAGCATTCATGATTTAACATAGCAAAGTGCAGCTACTAGCTTACCTAAAAACATTGTGTTCAGCCTATTCTGACCACACGCTTTTAATATAAACAGAAAAATGTGCTTGCAACTCTGACTACTCCACTGTTATTACTGTTGTATATTTCCACGAGGAATGCCTTTGGGGTACCTTGCGCATTTTGTTACAATTAAATGCACGACAAAAATAAAGAATTTAAAAAAAAAAAAGTAAAAGAGAAATGGAGTATTTTTCTTCCTCTGAAGGAGAATTAGAATATGATTTCTCTGAACATGGTCTAGAAGCACCAGTCTCAATGAAGGCAAAGGAGATTGAGAAATTAATTCTCACGATCAGGGAAAGTAGAGAATACATCCTTAGAGGCCTCGGATGAATTCTTTAAGGATCTAAAAGACAAAAAGCAGCACTTCCTCTTCATTCAGCAATAAGAGAGACAATATTTGTGGAGAGGAATTAATCAGAAAAAAAATCACAGCTGCAAAATAAGGTGCCTAGAAATTATCTTTTTAATCAAAAGTATAATAAATATTAGAAAGCAACCCCCAGAATTCACAAAGCAATAAGCAGATTGGCAAAAAGAGCAGGTCTCCCTATCGATAGTGGATCTTCTCTTATAGAACCAATGGAGAAAAGAATAGACACAGACTTGGTAAAAGCATATTTAACTCTGGGATCATGCCTTCATCCAGCTATGGCGACCACCTCCTTATCCAAAGCTATGAGAGTCTGGATTTCAAGACTCATTGAGGGCATAACTGCTGGAGTAAAAAGTGAGTCTCTACTAGACTCCACTAAAGAAGTGGAATTATCTACTAATATCCAGAGCTTCATTGGATATCACATAACTGGTGTCAAAGAGAATAGTTATGAAAGTCTCATCAAGGAGAGCGCTTTCGCTTTACTCATGGAGAACTATTTATGGATCCAAGGTAAGGGGATTTACTTGTCCAGGTCAAAGAAGTAGGAGGAAAATTACAGAAGTTCTATCTAAAAACTATATAAACATGTACATAAATATAACATTAAACCAACAACTAATCATATATAATTAACTGGTAGTTGTGGTGTTGTGGGTATTTTGATTGCTTCCCCAGAAAACTTCCCAGTAGTCTCCTATAAATGTCATGAATAACCAACAATATAGGGATACAGTTCTAAACAAAATAAATGCATTATTGTAATATGGTTTAGATCCAATAGAACTCTTCATAAAAATTGCACTCACAAGACATGTGAACATCGCAGCGTATTGAGTGTGCCTCCATTGAAGCATGGGGGACTAGGTTCCACTGCCCATCCAGATTCCCTCACTAATGATGCACATAGACTCCAGTGGTGTATGGCAACAAGTATATTTCTTAAAACAAAATAAAATATAAATAAACAATTGAATGGTCCTGCGTGTTTCCCTCTGTATTGGGCTTTTTCAGAAACGGCAATTAAATAAAACATTCAGCAAACAACAATTTAAAAAGCACCATAAATGTGAGTGTTCTGGGATCCATGATATCCACAATCAATCTGGTGAGATGGGCTCATTTCCATATCAGAAGTCTTCAGTGGGATTTCCTCTCTCTGTTTCATCACCAGCATTGGAACCAACTAATTTGAATTTCTCAGTCAACAAAAATATATCTGAGATGGTGGTTGTAGAATTACAATATTCAGAGGATGTTTCCCCTTAGTGGCTAGTTATCCAAGTAGATGCAATTTCCTATGGCTAAACCCTGTATGCTCTACTCATTTGGAATTCTTACATCAGGAATCTTCTTTCTTTTTCTTTTTTTTTGTAAATATGTTTTTATTTGTTATTTGTTATGCACACATAGGGGAAAACTAAACAGTGAGACTCACAGGTCTCCGTTAACCTAGCAAGTACAATAACCTGTGAATAACATGCGAAAGAGTTGGTTTCAACGAATGCGAGGATTGGCTTTGGAAAATGTGAATGATCAACATTTGGGCTCGCAGGCCCATATTGTGAATGGACTCACAGGTCCCTCGTCATATTATTTACCCTTGAATATAATCTTTCTTTTGTTTTTCCATTGAATTAATTAACTGCGTGGCTTGCATGTCTTCAGTTACGTTTTACCTAGAACAAGTTTAAACAGTTGCCTGTTCAATTGGGCTCGCAGGCCCGCATTGTCGTCGGACTCGCAGGTCCCTTGCATTGGAAACGTGTGTGTGTATGTCCCTACTGCGTAAGCCTGTCTGCGGGATGGTCATGTGACAATCGTGTGACAGCCAGTCGTGTGACAGCCCGGGTCACGTGGTCTGCGTCTTTCGTCCCCGCCCCTCTTTGCGTTGCCCTGTCTGGTTTTTGTGTTCTCCTTGTCTGCGTGTCTGGTCCTCTCGTGTCTGTTTTAGTGTTTAGTGGGCCCCTTAGTATTAGTAAGCCAGTGTGGCGGAGGGTGCTACTACCCCTGAGGGCTGTCTTCCCCTCTCCTCTCTGATTTTGTGGCGTCCTTTGGCTAAATGCATGGTGGTGTCAATGTCAAGTTAGTGAATTCTGGGTCGGTTGTCTTCAGAATCCTATGTGTCCAAGTGTTGAGGTACACTTGGAATGTGTCGTTAGCGGTGTGATGAAGTTCCTCTAGGGATCTCAGTTCCTCCATTTGTGTAAACCAGGCTCTCAGGGGAGGGGTAACCTGTTGTTTCCAATACTGTGGTACTTCTTATACGCTGTTCTGGGGGGTTTGGTGTGGTGTAAGAGCATTGCTGCTGGGCTAAGTGGGAATGGGTCTTCTGTAAACTTTCCCAATATTTGATGTATACCTGTCCAGTATGGGGCTATCTTTTTTCACTCCCACCAGATGTGTAGGAGCGTGCCTCTTTCTTCCCCGCACCTCCAACACTGGGGGTGGGGGGGGGTGGGATGGGATTCGGGCATGTACCGTCGCAGGGGTGTAGTACCAGTGCGTCAGTAATTTATATGCCGTTTCCTGTGTCCTGCTGAAGCTGGAGCAGTGGTGTGTCAGATAGCAAATTTTCTCCCACTCCGCTTTGTCAAAGGCATGGCCTAGCGCCGCCTCCCACTTCCCCATGTGGTGTGAGTGTTAGTAAAAGGGTGTACAGTACAGACACTCCATGTGCTAGTGGGTTGGGGTCCAGGCATAGGTTCTTGAAAGGAGTAGTGGCCCGATGTAGTATCTGTCCCTGTGGGAGTGAGGTTATATAGCTCCGAATCTGTTTGTATTTGAGGTGCATCAGGAAAGTTTTTTCAGTGTTTCCCCTCAGATCTTGGAGTGTCTTAATGCCCTCAGTGGTGTGTATGTGTCTGAGTCTGGGTAATGGGTCCTGTATTAGGTCCTTGAACGCTTTCGGGTCCATTCCCGGTGGGAATTCTAGGTTGTGTATCAGGGGTAATAGTGGAGTTGGGTATGAGGTTAGGCAGTGTCTCCCTTTAGTGCGGTTCCATTCTCGTAAGGTCGCTCTCATGTAAGGGGACTGTTTCTCGTCCCCTTTCTGAGCCTCAGGTGGTAGCCACGGTAGTATTGCGACCGGGACGCCCGCCTCGTGTTCCTCTACCTGCTTCCACTGTTTTTGTGTTTCTGATTTGGTCCATTCCATGATCCGCATGAGATGACAGGAGGAATCTTCTTTCTAATCAGTTGGAACTGAGAGGAATATTTAAAACATTATGGAAATGTCAGTGTCTGTTGAAAGATCAATGGATTCTAATCCACACAGACAACAAAGCAGCTGCGGCATACGTAAGTCATCAGGGAGGCACCAGAAGCACAGCCTTATTGGCAGAGACACTACCTATTATATTTTGGTCATAATTTCTTCAAAATTTAAAAGGCAGATTTTCTGAGTTGACATATGCTTGCACCGGGAGAATGGAGTCTCCACAGGGATGTTTGCACTCGCATGGGGCTTACCAGACATCAACCTTATGGTTACAAGGCAAAATTGCAGGTCCACACGTATTTCTCCCACAAGTTTAATCAGTCAGCCAATGGTCAGGATGCCCTGAGCCAAGAGTGGAATTTTTATCTGTGCTACGTAATCCACCAATCCCTCTAATTCCAAGGGTATTAGACAAAATATGATAAGCAAGGAAGGAAGTGAATTTAATCACTCCTCTGTGGCCGAAGAGACCATGGTACCCACATCTGCAAAGAATATTTCCTAAAGGACCATGGATTCTTCCCACAAGACCAGATCTGCTCAGCCAAGGCACCATTCTGCATCTGGATCCACGGAGTCTCAAACTAGTGGCATGATTTTTTAACAGGTGATTCTAGCAAATCAGGGAATACTGGAATCAGACACTGACACCCTAATGCAAGCAAGGAAAAAATCTACATCAAAGACATACCATAGGATCTCGGATGTCATCAGAGCTTGGACACTTCAAACCATGCGATCCTTTGAGAATCCAAATTGTTCTGAAATTTTTAATTCCTTCAAGCAGGTTTACAGACTTCAGCACTCGCAGCATTCACTAATGTACAATGGGCTTTACACCCTATGGTCAGGTGATTTTTTTTTTAAGGCAGTTAAAAGGATTTGCCCTCTGCAAAAGTCCACTACTTCTTCTTTGGATTTGCCTTTAATGCTTCAGGGATTTACTCATGCTCCTTTCGAGCCTTTGGAGGATTGTTCTCACAATAAAGATCATTTCTCCTTGCCATCACTTCTGCCAGACGGGCTTCTGAATTACAGGCTTTGTTATGTGAACCTTCCCATAGGATTTTTCACCCCTAACAAGTTGATTCTGAGACCAAGTTTGGAGTTTCTCCCTAAAGAACAAAAAAGAAAGAAGAAAGGTTTGCCCGGACCAAAAAGTAATGAGCCAAATATAAAAATTAACTTTTAATGGTAATAATTAAAATCAGTCTACATGGCACAATTAAATAGGTGTATGCACATTTCCTATTTTTATTTTCATTCCTAGGGAGTCTATAACGATTATCTACTTACTTCTCCCCTTCACTGATTTTAATTATTACCATTAAAAGTTAATTTTTATATTTGGCTCATTACTTTATGGTCTGGGCAAACTTTTCATTTTTGTCTTTCACACTCAGGGTCTATGCCCATCTTGCCCATTGACCAGTCACCATCTCTTCTCCCTCCTTATTCTCAAGTTCTCCCTAAAGGATTCACTCATTTTCACATTCAGCAGACCAAGTTACTCAAGAAGAATGAGAATGAAGAGATAACACCTTAAATGTCCATCGGGTCCTTCTACATTATTTGAATAGGACCAGAGAGGTGAGAAAATCTACCAGAATGTTTGTCATTCCAGGGGGCTCCAAACAGGTAAACGCAGCTTCTGTTGTGTGACGGACCGCCTTGCACCCCGGATGGGTACCTCCGTCAAGCTCGCTTTCTGGCTCTCCACTGGGACACCAGTAGTGCATCAGCCCCTAGCTGCCTAAGCTTGACTGGGGTCTCTCCTTTGCTTGCTGCCCTGAAACAGGGTCCTGAGTACAGCTCCAAGTGATTAAGCTTTCCTGCAGAGAGTATGGCTGTATAGCCGGTTCACCTAAAAACCTGCCTAGATTCGATGAAGGGTGAAAATGAACTGGTTAATTCAGGCAAGGCATACAGAATTTATACACAGCCCCCAGCATTGGGTCTCCATTGTATACAATACAAGCCCCTCCCACAGATCTCTGTGCCTGGGAGATATTTTAGTTAAAGATCGGTAATCTAATTATCTCCCAGGAACAGAGAGCCAAACACAAAAACATAAATACATAAAAGTACCCCAAAACATTATAAAAACATACGATAACTCCATGTGTCTTATATCCCCAAACAGCCCTGATCTGAGTGTCCAAGTTGTCTGAATAGCACTCAGATCCATGCAGTATAGGGGAAACGCCACCGTGGTAAAGTTCTGACCAGCCGCACATGTGGTCCTATTCCCAAAATAGTTCCAGAACAATGTGTGCTTTGGCTGGTCAACTTC